GACCTGAAACTTTCCAAGGCAGAAGCAGCAGCCGTGAGGTATATCGTAAGCCAGGATGGTACTGGCAATTATAGGAGCATAAGGGAAGCCATAGGCACAATCCCGTTGCACAACACGAGGAGAGTGATATTAGAGATCAGACCAGGGATCTATAGGTAAAGTTGGCTTCATGCATGCTCTAGTTTACTCAAGTCAACATGCATCCATCACTCTGATTACCATAAAATCATATCGGATCGGAAACATAATGCAAAATCTCCAAAAGGTGTATGTTTTCTTCTTTCCTTTCTTTTTCATGGTCCGTTCTCTCGTTGTTTATTAGCAACCACTTGCTGTGACACTGGACTTTGCCAAAGCCCAGTCATCCTTCAGCCACTATGGAATATCTTTTCGTAGTGGGTGTCAAAAGAAAGATTGTCCTCAGTCCCACTTCCGTTGCTAATGCGCGGCTAATTAATTTGATGATGATGCTTGGACTAGAGTGCGTGCTGAAACTTATCCTGCAACGGATGCTTCCGGAAAATTAATAAGCTTTCTCCATAAGAGAGAGAAAAAAAAAAGACTTACTGTTCAGCCAAACCAATTCTCTAAAGAGGAGGAAACGCAGATAATAAACGAATGAAAAGAACGCAAACTTACAATTGCTGAGGACAAGCCGAGTTAAAAGCATTCATTAATTAACAAGATAAATCTTTTTGTGTCAGTGAAGGTCGATTTTGTTTATTATTATTATTATTATTTAGTTGTATAACAGTGGATGCTTCCTTTCTTAATTTGTCGGTTAATGGTGTTGAGAAGCTGCATCTTCATATGCTCTGAATTCCCTTGGCGGGCTTGCAGGGAGAAGATAGTGATCCCAAAATCCATGCCCTTCATCACCTTGTTAGGTGACCCGGCGAGCCCACCGATCATTAGCGGAAACGACACGGCGGCCAAGATGGGCGACAACGGGAGGGCTCTGAAAACCTTCCGCTCTCCAACCGTTGCGGTTAATTCCAACTTCTTCCTAGCTGCCTACATCCAGTTCGAGGTAATGCTTTCATCTACATAGGATTCCCATGCATGCTCATCCCAAGAAATCAAGCCAAGCCTTTGGGTGGGGTGGCCCATACAATTGAGACCTCAAGTCCCTATATATGTATATATTGGTGCAGAACACAGCTCCGGTCCCGGATGTCGGGCAGAGGGGAGGGCAGGCGGTGGCAGTTCGGGTTTCTGGAGACAAGGCTGCCTTTTACAATTGCAGCTTTTATGGGGAGCAAGACACTCTGTATGATCACAAAGGTCTTCACTACTTCAAGAATTGCTTCATCCAGGGATCAGTGGACTTCATCTTTGGATACGGCAGATCTCTGTACGAAGTAAGTTTACTCACTTTAACAAGTGATTACGGGTTTAGCGAGCTGATGACCATGCACATCGCAACCACTAATTGCTTCACCCAGGCGGTGCCCAACCATTGTTGTTTGCATGAAATATGTTGTGTATATGCATACAGAATTGCTACCTCAACTCCGTAGCGAAGAAGGTTGCAGCACTAACTGCGCAGAAACGGAACATGGCGTCGATGGAGAGCGGGTTCTCGTTCGTCAGGAGCACCATCACGGGAAGCGGCCTGGTGTACCTGGGGAGGGCATGGGGAGACCATTCGAGGGTCGTCTTCTCCTACACATTCATGGACAAGGTGGTCATACCACAAGGCTGGAACAGTTGGCGCATCCACCGCCCTGAAGCGTAAATCAACTAAGCTGCTCTTCTCGTTCATTTTGTTTTTGGAAACACGCACCGCTGAGGTCCGTTTGATCGCTTGTTGTTGGTTGAAGCAGAAGCGGGGTGTATTACGGGGAGTTCCAATGCGGTGGGCCTGGTGCTAACTGGACAGGCAGAGTTCACTGGGCTCGTCTACTGACCCACGAGGAAGCACAACCTTTCCTGGGGACGTACTATGTCAATGGCGATTCATGGCTTTTAGGACCACCATCAACGTAATTGCTGATGCCGCTTCATGAGCGTTGGTAAGGTTGCTCATTTAAGTTTAATTTGGAGCTACGAGCTGTGCGTGTTTTCCTGTTTTTTATTTCATGTATAAAATAATGGGCGAATGCAACTCGTACGAGTGACTTATGTGGTTTTAAAATGGAATGGAACTTGTCGTACTTTGCTGCGTACGTATCCCACCCTTATAATCTTCTTTTATTTGTGGCCTTCCCAACCTTTGTTGGATTTTTTATATATATATTTATTTTCTTGGCTCCCTCACTTCTTTTTGAATTTATAAGCGAAAAATATAATAAAGATTAATATGATGGTGGGTTTGTCAAATAAAAGAGGGGGCGGCCCATAGACGATGGACAAGGCGGTGGTTGGAAAACAGAGAAGGTTCAGGTCTTCTGCTCTCCGACTGCAGTAGCCGCTCAATTGATCAGATATGATCATAACTCAGTTGATATTTGAAATGTGAAGAAAGAAAGACAAGATCAGTTCTCATAGTTCAGATATGATGATGAAATATATCCGAAAAAAGATAGAAGACGAGACTAGTTATTATAACTTAATTTAATCAAAAAAATAATAAAAATTTTAATAAAAAATTGAACAAGATGTCTCGTGGACACATGGATAACACATAGAGGCATCATCCTAGGTAACCTATTAACTCTCCAACTATAATAATAACTTCAACTCAAATAACTCACGAAATAATTTCAACAATAATCACTATAACTATCAATTATTCTTACATCTCAATAATAATAATTAATAAAAAAATATTTATCAACTCTGTGATAAAATTAGATATATAGGAAAAATTTATGGATCTCGACCTAAGCTTTTAACTATAAGAAAACTTCTAATTCTATGAGAAAAAGATTTACTTTCTGAAGAGAGATTATAACTCTTTTTTTTCCTCAAATATTCTTTTGTCTTTCCTACTCTTTTTTATATTATCTCAAGCAAAAATGAGTGAGGTATTTATAGACCTTAAATGACTTCAAAAATGAGCCTCTTAATGGGTCCAAATCAGCCCCGACTCAAGCCCAATAGCCCCTAATTGAGTTAGCATGATGACACTCGAAACTAACTCAATTAAGACCTAAACAACTTCAATCTACATACACGATTACAAGTATGAATCATATGTTGTCCACTATGTTATTAGTTCATCCAACGCTTCGTTCGAACCTTTGGCATATTACCCGATCCATCGGCATGTTGACCTCCCGCAACATCCAATCTTCTTGACGCAATATCTGATTCTTCTAGCCCAATGCTCGAACTCATAGCATGAAGTCTTTTCGGCATAACGATTAGTCACAAGCATACTAAGCTCAAATAATAAATGAGAAAAAATAGAGGCTTCTAAGCTCAAATAATAATAATAATAATCACATCACACACATATATCATATCACACGGTCCTGATAATAAATGAGAAAAAATAGAGGCTTCTAAGCTCAAATAATAATAATAATAATCACATCACACACATATATCATATCACACGGTCCATAATCATTTATCCACATCATATATCACATGTATATATCATTATATAGGACTACTAGATAAATAATAATAGTTAATTAAACTTTTAATTAAATATATTTTTTAAAAATTGGGGATACGTAAGGGTTTTTTTATATGAAGGATATTTATGTAATTTAGAAAAAAAGGATAAATCTCAGAATTTCTAAAATTGAGAGGCGTAAAATTATCTTTCCATCCAAAAAAATCTTAAACCCTTCTACATTGTTACCGTCGCCACCCCGCTAGCGGCTCACACGCGGGTGCTTTACCCACGAGCGGCCCGCATGCGAGCGATGTGCTCGCAAGCGCTGCCCTTGCGATAGCGTGGTGGTCCAACTGCCACCTTTCAAGTGATTGCCTCTGCAGGCGAGCGTCACCCTTACCTATAGACGACCTACCTATGGGTGCCCTACCTATAAGTGCCACCATTGCAAGAAGACATTCGTCGGCCGCCTACGACCCCTGCCCGTTGGTGGCTAGGACGATAGCAAGGGAGCTCTCGCCCAAGGTTGTAAGCAGCCTTTAGCCAACCTATAAAGGTAGCAATAGTTGTTGCCCTTTCTCTCCTTTTGGGTCAATAATTTTGACATCAAAAGCCTTTCTAAAACATAACACACGTAGTTTTAAAACTAATATTTTGTATAAATAATCTGGCTCTGATACCACTATTGAAAAATCTTAGAGTGACATAATATGCATAGCAAAAGAATATAAAATAAAAAAAATCTTAGATTTTCACAAAAATATTTCATGATCATGCGAAGATTGGTGCACAAAAACCAAAATCGAAAACTACGTGTATAAGAAAGATGTGTTTTAGTTAGGGAGATCGTATATCCCTGAAATTCTACATATCTGTGTGAGAGGTTGAAGGAGGTCAATTGTCCTCCTCTCTAGCGATGATCCACATAGTACGGGCTGCGAATGTAAGAAAATCTTATGGGGCATCACATGAGTGGAAGAACACAAAAATAAAATCTTCAAATTTTTCAAAGATGTGTTTATCGTCGTGAGAAGATTGGTGCGCAAAAACCCATGAAACTTAAATCCATGTGTGAGATAGTATTTTACTTAGGGAGATTATATATCCCGTGATTTATGATGTATAGTAAATTCTTCAATAATAATATTTATTTTTTAATAAGTTTTGATTATTTTCAAGAGATAGCATTAATTATCTATTTCAAAGAGTGCACTTATACATAAAAAAAAAAAAAGAGCATTTATATATGTGTTAGTACAGCGAGAGAGTCGATATCTCGGGGTGGTCTTCGTAGTTAGGGTAACGAGGGAACGCTGGCCGGGATCCAAGTCTCGCTCGCAACCGTCCGTGAAAACGGTCATACGTGCCGTTTCTAATATCATGTCAACGATCGACCGGTAATAAAACATCTGTCACGCCTTTAGATTCGCGCCGATACTTGATTGGCTCCTTCTTGAGACCCGTGCCTGAGCTATACGGCAGACGGTTGGCAAGCCAAGATATTTGTCTTTGCCGAAGTAGGTGGAGGCGGACATTATCCGCTCCTCTTCTTCGAAATCCCTCCATCGACCGATGCCTCTTCCCACGGCCTTCGCTTGTTGTGCATACTCGCCTCCGGCCCTCTCGATGATTTGCTCCGATCCCGGCGGGTGTCTCAGGTCCGTCAAGACCCTCGTCCGCTCCACTGTCGAGATCCCTCCTCCGTCGCATCTCCCCCATCCCATCGAATCCCTCCGTCGGGGGAATTGGGTCAAGCTCATCTGCGGCGCCAGTTTCGAGGTAAGAGCAAGGCAGTAATATGATCCCAACATCCCAATCCCCGACCCTTCTTTCTTTCTTTCTTCTGACCGCACATTTCCCTTCCTTCCTTTTTTCTTCAACAGGACGCGGCCGATGTCAGGAATCTATCCCTCGTCTACACTCTCGCCGGAGGTATTTAAGATCCTGAAGTTTGATGGTTTCGTATCCCACCATATTTCAAGAAAATTCATATACTGATGATGGGCGACGGGGATTTGCGTAGTGGACTGCATTGATTGTGCAGCAGATGAACCAGTGGTTAATGCCGTTAACGAGGGGATCGCTGCTGCGATGTCAATCTCTATGGTTAACCGGCCGTGGGTGATGATCAGTGTCAACGATGACAAAGAAGATCTTCATTTCCGTAAAGCTGGTAGAACCATTGCTCTCAGTGGACAAATAGTGAACCTTATTCTAGCTCAAGTTCTTCGAGTTATAGATAGAGTTCATTTTCATTTAGCCATGTTTATATAGTCATTTAGTTTCTGATTTCACCACGGCTACAGGATACTATGCTTGTCACTAGCCAATGGTTAATTATCTAGGATACCCGGACAGGAAACAATTTTCTTTAGGAAATGTATGCCTGCCCAGTAGACTTAAATAGGGAGAATTTAACTGCTTGTTATGCATTAAATGCTACTGAAAGCTGCTATCTCGTATGAGAATCCACGCCCTCTTGCGATTGAGATATCAGTCTATTAAAAACCAGTATTATACAAACTTATGAATAATTTCTATTGAAGCATTAAGCTATTCTGCCTTGCCCAGAATTTGATCCCGAGGATTGTCCATCTGATTGTCCTAGACCATGTGAAAAGGTTTGCCCTGCTACTGCAATATTGCTACAGAGAGTGTTTGAGGAAGGTGAGCTTGTGCAGAACACAGAATGGGGTAAACTTCAGGTGCGAATACATGTTGTCTTGTTAATATTGTGCATCTTTCTGATGTGGCTTTTAGTTGACTTATTCATTGTCCAGGGTGGAGTGATCACAGAACGCTGCTATGGGTGTGGACGATGCTTCCCCATCTGTCCTTATGATAAAATAAGTGGGTACTGTCTCCTTTTCATTACTTCAGAATTACTGCTGTTTGTCGTTGTCTTATTCTCCTATTTGTTACATTGACCAAAAGGGATATTTGAGTTTTTCTATTTGTTCTGTTGTTCCTGTTACTTATTCTAAATCTCTGAGTCAAGTAAAATTTCATGTTGTATGACTTACCGAATTCATATTATTATTTGTCATATTTTGTTGAATTTCTGTTGTGTTTGATTTCTTTTAGGAGCTATTACTTATGTTAGGGATCCTAGCACTACAACTAAGCTTTTGCAAAGGAGTGACGTGGATGCAATAGAGATACACACTAGTGGAAGGTTTGGGTTATTCTGTTTTCCTCAAGAAACCCTTTACTAGGAATTGGCCTTTTGAATAATGTTGTCTTTGCAATATCTTGGTGGCTTAAGTAACATATACTGTAAAACTTGATAGGTGCACTGATTTATTCAGTGAGCTTTGGAATAGCTTGGGTGATTCACTAGAAAATGTGAAGTTAGTAGCAGTAAGTTGGTTCCAGAATTTACTGAGTAATATTTCTTCTTGGTAACATCTTTCATGTTGTCAACAACCAAAATCTATGCATTTTCTTAATTATAAACAATTGCAGCTGGCATCCATCCTCCCATGCAGTAAGTAATTCTTATTACTTCATAAATTGGAAGATCCTTCATGTGATAGCATAATAATCTTGGTCTTAGGCTCTTAGCTTATTGATGCTAAAGATCATAGGTTTAAAATTAAATTGATGCAATACATGACATTTATGTTAATGATGCATAAGAGTGTTACTTAAAAGAGTCCTGAAAAGTCATCAGTTTGTTAAACATGCTAGTACAAATTGTTGACGATTTTTAGGTGGGGATATTTTAGGAACCTTGTTACACTAGGTACAATGATAAGCCTATAATCTTTATGCATCAAACAAACTAGTTTAATACATATCATAGCTGATATATTGGTAGATTTATTTTTTACAGGTGAAAAGGGGTAATTTGAGCAAGCCTATGACACCACAAATATGGAGAGTAAATTATACCTAGAGTTACAAATCAAAGAGGTTTGCCATGGTATGTAAGACAATATGGACTTGCTACTAGTAAACTAAGCTGAAGCATTTTGGGTCTTACAGTCAAAGGTCTGTGTTATCCTAGTTACTGGACCAGTGGAGCTATCATGTCGGGTCATGACATAATTTACATGACCAGCAAAGTGCCAGAATATAGATCATTGATCGATTACATGTTCAAATTGAAACAAGTTTTTATATCAAAGTTTTTCCTTACCTAGAGATATGTAGGTTAGGTTTACAGATTTGGAAAGAAGATGGAAAATGAGAAAAGGAAGCTGCAATTAACTTTAAAGTTCTTATGACAAGAATGAATTTGGAACATATCTAAAGTTTCTCAGTAGTTAGAAGCAGTATTTGGTTATTTTTCTTTTTTGTGGCAAAGGCTTATAACCAGAAGAGGAGTCTTGGAACATATTATTTATTACTCTACTCAAGTTAATGGCTACTAGTAGATTATGATAAAGTTAAAACAAATGTCATGAGTAAAATTGTATGGTTGAATTATTTGGGCGAGAAACCCATGTCTAAAATTATCAGAATAGACATGACAGTTCTTGTTAAGATTTTTTTCTCTTTTCTTCATTGTGTAATGTTGTCTTTTAAGCAACGCTATTATCTGTGGTAAAAAAAACCACGAGTAAGACTATCAGAATAGATTTTTTTTTCCCTTTTTTCACTTTTTCTTGTAATGTTGTCTTTTGGGTGATACATCATCCACTCATAATGCCCCTATGGGTAGCTAGTACTACTAAGTGCAATTCATTTTGACCAATGTGCTAGTCATTTAGATTCTCGGAACGTATGGGTTTTAAATTTGGTTGGACAAAGAAAACTCCTTAAATGTTTCATATGGATAATCTAAACGTGCATTTAAAACAGATGATGTAAATTATCTGATTAAAGTGCAAATCATTTAGCCTTTGTCTTTTCTGATACATTATCAGATAACAATAGACAAAAACAACAATTTTTGACTTTTTATACTTTACATTTCAGGTTAGTTTGCCCAATGTTGGTGAATCGACTTTGCCTGTGATGAATCTGATATATGCAATAATGGAGCCTTCTATTAAATGCTACAATCTATGGCAGGTCAGTATACAATGGTGATTTTGCAAATTAATGTTAAATATTTGGTATTTGCTGTTTTTGGATCCTTGTCCAGGTTGTCATTCACAAGTTTTACTGGATCACAAGATTAAAGTTTTTCAAGCATGTTTTGAAATGGACCTGATGATCTCCATGTTACATTATATTTTCACCTCTAAATCTTAGCCTGGTTTAGTTAGACAGCTTAAATATGATAAAGCAAATGCTCCTACCTATATCCTATTATACCAAGGTGAAGTATCAAGAAATTAGCCAAATAGAGAAAGAAGACTAAGTATCATTAGCAACAAAAAAATGTAACTAGGAACAGAAATGAATTTGATTAAAGTGTTATGAGAAAATATTGAACTACATGCAGTCTGATAAAAATGCAGAATAAAGTGAATATCATTGTTTTTATACATTAGTAAGACTTTGTTATATTTTTATGAATGACCATATGGAGGTCTAGAATGTATACATACAAGCATGGTTTGCAGTACCGATCCGGGCGGTACGTACCGGTCCGCCGGACTTTCGGTACGCGGACCATATGTTACCGTTCCGACACTGTAGCATTACTGTAGCACTGTAGCACTGCTACAGTGATCGGCACGCCTGAATATACCGCTCGGTACACCTGGGTGTACCGAGCGGTATACTGTACCATACCGGTACCGAGCCTAGGTCGAAACTCCGGTACGGTACGGTATTGCGAACCTTGCATACAAGTCATACAATTTGTCATATTCCATATCCCTGTGAGTCATTTGTTCTTGTTTATATATTATATTTACACCTTGGCACAACGGTCCTATCAAATTCTACTAGGATATACCAGATGGTGGTCCATATTTGTATATATCTTTTGCTTCCGAAGTGTTCTGTTTTGTGTTTTGCTATTTCGAAATTATCTCTGTACTCATGTACATGTGTATAATGCCTTCCATATATATCTGTTATTCTGTCCTACAAAATGATATTGTAAATATATACTTGCATTACAATAGTTGGATGGCCGGCCTATGAGTGGAGACATTGGTAGAGGTGCAACAAAAGAGGCGGTAGACTTTGCTGTTCATTTGGCTGCTGCAAGAAACAAGCCTCATGGTAGATATGCAGGATAACACACATGGATTAGGTAAATAGTGATCGACATAAACCTTTCTGAAGCAGGATCAATAATTCTACCAAATTTGGCTTCTTAAGGGTTTTATCAGTTGGCTGGTGGCACTAATGCTTTCACTATCAAGAGCTTAAAGAAACAAGGGATCTTCCAGACGATGACCATTGATGGTAGGCTCCTTTGTACTTGGTGCACCATAGGTTGTCTGATTTTACTCTTACAACTTCTCTCTGTGTTTTAGTGAATTTACTTCAGAGCTTATTCTGGTTTCAACTGCTCAAGAGCAATTAGTGTTAGCTGGAAGTATATGCCTTCTGCTTTATGATATTTCTTTACATACTCTTAACCAATGTAATTGACCAAAGCAGAATACTTTGCTTTGTGAAAAAGACAAGAAATGACAGGGTTGTCTTAGTTATTAATTTCTTACTGTAGCTTATTGACTGCACACTAGCAATTAGCAGTTCATTGCTTACAGCTTCATCAGATGCATAACATATGTGATGACCTATGATCTATTTGCTGTATTTACTATAGGGAACTCTTTAGAGAAAAGTAATGAGGATAAACAAGCTCGTCCTGAACAGGCAGATATTGGTGGAATAGCTTATGGCGGCTATGCACGAAAGGTCATAATTTACACTAATTCAAGCAAAATTTAGCTAATTCTCTGCGTGCATGCTACACTTTTTAACTGGTTTTCAAGATGAACTTTCTTTTACCAAGTTTACAGTCATTTTTCTGATCAATAGCATTACTACCTTGTATGTCTGAGTAATAGTTTCTTCCTAATTGGATTTTGGATCAACGTTCACGCATAGATCTGTTTAGTCAGGAATATATGTTTGTTGATTGGTTTCTTCTTCCTTTCTTCTTTTGATGAGTGTGGGGATTTGAAGATGTTCCCAAATTGCCATAACATAAGACAAATCCATGGTCGAGTTGGTGAACAAACATGCATCATGATGCATAGTGTATTATATGGGACACTCGATATACATTCAAAGTAGATGTCTTCATTATATAATATGGATTATTGGTCTAGATGGTGTGAGTCGACATTTGTAATACCCTATGTATGGACCTTGGGTGATTGGGTTGTAATATACACACAACTAGGAAATAAGTAAGATGTTCATTTTTGTCCTAGTGTTACAATGACATGCTAAAATTTAGAAGCTGCAATATTGAACTAACTGATGAAATGGTATGTAGAAAAAAAAAATGGTAACTTAGGCAAGCATACAGTTGCTACTTTACATTGTATGTTCACATTATCCCTGGCTTTACAGCAAAGCTTGGTAGTCATAGATTTTTTATCAGTGAATATTGAAATTGTCCCTTACTGATAGATAGCGAAGAGGTCTAAATGATAAATCACTTATTTCTTGCTGCTGACCACCTTTCTATGGCCTGTAGTATGTACATGTTGAGCCAGTGTATTGACTCCCGAGCATGTCCTGATTTTTCTATTTGTGATGGTTACTGAATTGAACAATTAGCATTATATTCAGCTTCTCTATTCTAATAGGAAACTTTACTATGTCATCGATGCAGAATGTCTCCCCTTAAATTTGTGGGATGTTTTATGTTTAGTTTAAATTCTCTTAAAGGTTTGCTATAAACTCAACAAATTTTGTAAGTTTTAAGTTTGGTCAAAAGAGTTAGATTCTGCATTATAGTTGGGTTTCCATTTTAAGCAAAAAGAGAACAGCTTTTCAGCTTCTTGGTTTGGGGTTACTGCTTTAGGACTTGCACATTTTTCTTGGTTGTAGACTTTTCTGTCACTCTAGTCATTACTAATGACAATGTGCTGCAGATTGTTGGAAAAATTTTGCACAAAATGCCCACCCAGCATGGTCTTCCACGCATAGAGGACCATCCAGAGTACCTAATGGAGGCAGTTAAAGAAGCTCTGACTTTAATAGGTCCTGTTAAGGGCTATGCAGAGCTCAAATTTTGATGGTAACACTATGAGATTGGTTGTGAGATAAGTATAATTTACAGGCATGACAGAGTATGCATGTCAGAACAGTCGTATGATGTGGTGTGCAGATGTTTATGGTGTTCTTGCTTATTGGAAGGGTTGAAGGAAAGCTAGTCTTAGTTCCTTCTAACAGTAGTTGTCCATCAGATGTCAAACTGTCTCTCTGTTTGTCTGATCTCACCGGAATGATTGTACATTTCAAAATTTTTCCCTGCACAATTGATTGCAATAACTAGTGGCAAATAATTTGCCTATTCATGGATCTCCGGGAGTGCCTTCCAGGACAAGAATCAACCTTACCACCAATAGATAATTTTATATAATGACCATCCACAAATATAGTGTTCAACTATAATAGAAAAAACAATTGATGATATATGTTTAGCAGAAGAGTATAAGCTATTTGTTTTTGAACATTTGAAGTGTGGTTAATAAGGGCTAGAACTTGAGGTAAATTTTACCTGTTTATTAGTTAAAGGCTGATGGTGAATATTAATACCATTTTGGAGTATGTGATAATGCGTTAATGAACAAAATCACAGAGTGGAATATATATCCTTTCTTCATCAAACCATGATCAATATATCATTGTTTAGAAGATTGAAAAAGAAAAAAAGTATGTACGCCTGTGATTTCATGATCGCATATGTGAACTGATCGAGCACCATAAGAATTACAATCGGATTGGTCCACCTACTCCTTTGTGGTTATGCTAGTAAAATCCCGAGTCGACTGGCGAGTGCATGCATCCGAGGTGAAGTGCCACAACCAAGTACTAACCAGATCGGACGTACCTTCCAGCGATACATGGCTGGGCGCTTTCAGTCCTCATCTTTCCTTACTCCAGTCGCGCAGCAGGCCGCCTGCGTCCGGGATCGTCTTCCACGACATGTGGTGTGGATTCTGCTCACTGCAAGTTGGAACAAGAGCACCGATTTTTTTATGATCTCGCAGGCAAAATAATATTTTTGAAGCGCTTTGTTCATTTTCCGGATCACGGTACGTTCACTGAAGAGTCCGCTCACCTCCTCCTTCAACTAAAGTCCGGTCGTCGCGCTAGTCAGACTAAAGGTGCACGTGACCGGACCCGTTGCGAGTCCGATCGCCGATCGTGAGAAAAAAGTTGCTCGACTCGGACGATTTTGCAAAAAAAAAAAAAAAAAGGGTCATCTTGTTATCTTCGCAGCGTGAGGTAAGCTTACCCAACGGTTTGCTCACCCACGGTGGTGTGACTATATATATATATATATATATATATATATATGATCGCTCTCCGACTTTTTTGTGATGACCAAAATACCCTTCCACACCAATCGTGTTCTCTGCTTTCAATCGCAAGCGCTCCGCCTCATCCACTCACCACCGTCGCTCCGGTCGATGGCGGCCCTGTCGACGAAGGATCCCGGGAGCGGAACCTCGGACGGTCCTGCCGAGGTGCTTTCCGGAAACTACCCGACCCCCCTGTCGCCGCCGTACCCGCCGCTGTCGAAGAACGTAGAGCTCCATCGAGCGATGTCGGCGGCTGCGAGGTCCGGGGAATACGCACTCTCTGCCGCCGATATCGTGTTCGAGGACCAGTATCTGGTGGTCGCCAACAAGCCCTCCGGGGTGTACTGCGAGGCCATCCTCTCCTCGCTTTCCTCCTCTTTGGGTTAGTTCCAGATCTCATATTATTTCCTTCTGTCAGTTTTAGGTGCAACGATATGGCTCAACATGACGAATTGAGTGGTGATAGAAGGAGATAATTTCTCAAAAGCACATGATTATCGTTTCAAATGCTATTGAATTTGTCTTTAAGTAAAAGCAAAATAGGACCCTTTTTTTCTTAATGTAAATTTATCTGCTAATGATAATTACGTACACGGTAGAGTTGATAGGAAGGACTCATGATTCAGTGATATGACAATAGAAGAGAAACAGGTGAAACCGGCTTTACCTGACGTGGAATTGGCAAAAGGATAGAGCTCAGCGACTCAGTTAAAAGCAGATAGATGCCTGATTCTTAGAAGGTTATAGAGAAATTTGGGGAGACAAAGAAGGAAAGAAAAAAAAAAAAAAACTATCATTAGAACATATTATGTGTCATTACCAATCGATTGTCTGATGGAAATATCACAACTGAACTGTGCCACCATCTTGGAGACACAGATTTCTTTCTATGGGAGGTTGTGTATACCAGAGATATGCATTGTGAATAACAATGCACAAAAACAGATGCATCACGTAAATGCACAACCATTGGGTAGGCAAGGCTGTTTATGCTCACTTTGTACTGAAGGTAATAAGTTACAAGGACCTTATATCATCTAGGTTGACAATGAAGACTTAATTTTGGTAAGCAAAGCTGAATGGAACACCACAATACAAAGGACTTATTTAGATTCTAGTCAAAAATTAAAATTATTTGGCTACTGATATGAAATATGTTGGAGGATAAACAATAAGGATAAATCACAACACAATGATGTTCAGACACTGGCAAAATAGATGCTAAAATTTATAATACACTTATGATTTTTTGCCGAAATTAATGAATGTAAAAACATGTTTTTGAAGTTTGAAAAATTCTTAAATATAAAATCTGACTTAATCTCGAAAATGTATTCTGAAAAGTCAAAATAAGTTATAGGTTTTTGTATCTGATTCATATTTTTTTCCTAAAGTTTGAAAATGTTCTTAAATAAAAACTTAAACTTTTAAAATATATTCTGAAAGTTAGTATTAGATTTTTGTATGTGTTATTGTTGCAAATATCTCATATAGAACATGGAGAACATTTAATTGAAGTACATTTGATGATACAAACATAAAACAATCATGTTGGATCTTACCATCAAAGGTATTATTTCGTTCAGGATTTGGATTGTTTAGCACCATCTCGGTCCATTACAGAATTCGGATCATTGAAGTCCAAAATCCTGAGTAAACTGGGGAATCCCAGCTCACATCAAGATAAATCCTTTGAAGTAATACCAGCATCTTTAGCACTAGTTGCTCTCCCTAAAGCAAAAAACTGAATTGTGGATGAACAAGAGAGGATAATGCAGAAAATACTGGATTGAAAAGGAAGTTGCCGACTTATTCTATTTGGTGTATTTCCACCTGTTAACATTAGTGATCTTCCCTTATTCTAGACTATTCTCAGAATTTCAGATTTGATAAGCTTCTATCTCCCCTTTTATCTATATGAACTTCTATTGTGAATCAGCCTTTTAGTTCTTGAGGCAAGTTCCTATGTGGCATGAACTTGTCTCTGTTTGGTACTTGCTATAGAAAGTTGGTGTCAGGTGAACATAACATCTGTAGAGCATTCTACATCTTACACGAATTCCGATTCAGAAATAGCTAGGATGTGGATAGCTCCATGTAAAATTGGTTTAATCTACACACAATCATGACAACCCAAGATGACCTAATTCATCTCCCTCTTTCTTTTCTTATTTTCCCTTCATGAACACAGAGACTATCATTTAGGCTGAGTGATTACTTCTTGCTGATCGTAAGCTACCATTCCATTTCAGTTCTGGTTGGGTGAACAAATGAGCGAGTTGTCAGTAATTTGAACCAGCATCTGCTAGACATCTTCCAAACACGGAGAATTGATGAAAGAAGTACTTATGTCTTTTTAGTTTGCAGATTCTTAAGGAAATGCTAAGTCAATCCATCTCAAACGGACATAAAATGGTGTTGCGAGAGTAGAAGCTACAAAAACTTTATACTTTTACCTCTTTCAGGTCTCTTCTGATGTCCCAAATTGACAGGGTCTGTGATCGTCAAACCTGAATTTCATCTGGCGAACCGGCTAGACCGTGATACTAGTGGTCTTATGGTCATAACCAAATCCCACAAAGCTGCTGGTAGATTGGTGAAGGCATTTACTGATCACAAAGTCAAGAAAACTTACCTGGCACTCTGCATCGGGTATGCACCAGATTGGAACAAGATCAGGATAATCTCTGGTCATGGAAGATCAAAGTTTGGTGCATGGCGCGTGTACTCCACGGAGGAAATTGGCAGGACACTTCCAGGTGGATCCATGGTGAAGAATATGGTCACATCCTTTGAAGTTCTATTCGTAAATGGAAAAGGAAAATTCAGAGAGCCTATTGATCACAAAGTGAATGATGTAGAGTCGGTGGTAGTCCAAAAGGAAGCTGAAAGGAGCATAGATGATGGCAAGAAGAGCGATCAAATTTTGATCAGGGCATACCCTCAGAGTGGGCGCACGCATCAGATTCGCCTCCACTGCCAGTATCTTGGAATTCCAATCAGAGGTGATGTCAAGTATGGTGGGTTTCATGAATGGAAGGGAATAACATACGACACTCATGCATTACATGCGGAAAGTTTGTCATTTGAGCACCCCATCACTGGCATGCCTGTCCGGATTCAGGCTCCATTGCCGTTGTGGGCAAGTGAGATATGTGGAGATATGCCACAGAAATCATGACAAGGCTGTCCATGATATCAAGTTCCTGATTTATGCTGCACTGGGGCGATGCTGATTGTTCTTCGCAGTGTCTGTCTGTTTTTTAATGTTAATGGCCTTTAGAAGATGAGGTATCATGTAATATGGGGTGACGCTGATTGTTCTTCGCAGTGTCGGTCTGTTTTTTAATGTTAATGGCCTTTAGAAGATGAGGTATCGTGTAATATGTAATGTTTATTTAAACCAGCAGACTGTCTTGGTCGAACACATCAATCTCCGTTTCCCAGAAATACGATCCAACCAATTCGTGCCATGCATGTATCATATGGTTGAATTGAAGCCGTTAGTTGCTATTACAAGATTGTGTGAGCATGGCCAATCTGATTCGTGCGCCCACTCTAAACCCTAAACCCCAAATCTTAAATCCTAAACTCAAAACCTTAAAACTTCAACTCTAAAATCCTAAACTCAAAACCTTAAAGCCTAAACTCTAAAATAATTTTGCATCACTAGTACTAAAGACCAAACTATCTTGTATTATTAGGGAATTTTATAGAAATTCAAGCAATATATAAAACTAACATTGAAATATCATTATTTATTTTGTCACTTAGAAACTAGGCTAAGAATGTACAAGCTTCTAAAAGTCACATCTTAGTGCACAAAGATGGTATTCACTTAATTTTAAATTTCATAAAATCCTAAGTTTAACACTTATTAAAAGTATAAGAGCTCATTGTATATCAATGGGTGTCAAATCAACTTAAATAAAATTCTTTTTGAAAAATAAATAATTCTGAATACTTTGGCTAAAAAATCTATTACTCTATCACAAATTTTAGATTAAGGCAATACATGAATCCATTGAATCATAAAAAAAAATTATACAAAATATATCTAAATATTAAAGATTAATTTGAAACATAAATTACTAAAAAAGCATATGAAAATATTAGTTTACCAATGACTAAGCTAAAACTATATTTACAGCTAAGGAAGGGTTGGACTTTCTTACGTTGTTCTTTCTTAGAATTAGGGTTTTCTTGGCCTCTACGAAGGAAAGATGGAGAACGAGGAGAATATGTGAAAAATGATAGAAAATGATCATAAGGACAAATTAGAGGGGAGGGGAGAATAGTGCATGTTTGGGCTGTTTAGTGGACTCGCTTGATGGATTGGGCTCAACCTATTAGGCTCATCTTAAATTTTTTTATAATATAATTATTCTTGAAAAATACTTAAAGCTATTTTATAATATGAAAATATCTTCTAATCACTATATACAAACTTATTATATATATATATATATATATATATATATATATATATATATATATATA